AATTGGCACACATTTTTTTCGCTGCCAAATTGACATTACGGCTCTATGTGCATGCAACTTGCTATCTTTCCATATTCTTGGAGAACTTTTGTTTATCATTTCTACCCTAAGCAAGTCACAGCCAGAACTATCAAGGATAACACAAGATTTCTTTTCAAAATGCAGAGAGTAATCATTCTCAAGCATTTGACCTACACTTAGCAAGCTTTGATCAATATCGGGTACAAATAAAACATCCATAATGTGTTTGGTACCTGAGGGAGTTTCAACAGCCACAATTCCTTTGCCTTCAACGTCAACCAAGTCTCCATTTCCAATCCTTACTTTTGACTTGTATGACTGATCTAGCACCTTGAATTTGCTGAGTTCATGAGTCATGTGGTTTGTACAGCCACTGTCAATAAGTCAAGTGTCATCCGAGTTGCTCATTGTAAGATTTGTAGCCATAAAGAGCTCCTCCTCATGTTGCTGATTTTCAGCAACTTTTGCCTGTTGCCCTTGATCTTGTTGCCTTTTGCTGATTTTTATTCTTACAGACCTTTTACACATGTCCATATTACTTGCATGATCGGCACTGTACTCCGGGTCTAAACCAGTAAAAATTTTCAGAATGGCTGGTTTTCTTGCAGTGAGGGCATGGTGAATATTTCTTTTTGCCTTCACTTTTAGAGTTTTGGCCATCTATCTTCTCTTTTCCTTTCCTCTCACTGGGTTGCTTCTTCTCTCCTTGGAAAACTTTCTGTTTTGCGAATAAAGCTCCTTCGCTGCTACTTTCTTGCCTCATTGATCTCCTTTGTTCTTGAGCTTGAAAAGCATGCACAAGCTCAGCCAAAGACATCTTGGTTAAGTCTTTTGAGTCTTCAAGAGAAGAGATCTTAGACTCAAATCTCTCTGAACAAGCTCACCAGCACCTTTTCTACCGCCCTTTGATCTGCCAAATCTTCTCCAAGGAGTCTGATCTTGTTAACAACCTCCATGAGTCTATCAACATACTCTTTGATGGACTCATTGTCTTTCATCTTTAGAACTTCAAATTCTCTCTTCTATTTGAGAATTTGCATCTGCCTTGTTGTTCTATCACTTACCATATACATTTTCTTGAGCTTATCCCAAGCTTCTTTTGGAGTTTCACAAGCCATAATCCTTGTGAAAATTGAATCTGAAAAGGCAGCATGAATGAAAGACAAAGCTCATGGAGCTTTGGCTTCTTCTTCTTCATGAGTTCTAATTTGGGTGAAAGTTGGATTGTTTCCCAAAGGAGTTACTTCCTTATCCGTCTCAACCCACTGCCACAAACCGAGACCTCTCAAGTGAGCTTTCATCTTGACAGCCCACACTTGATAGTTCTCACCATTAAAGATTAGGGGTGAACGATTAGAAGAACTGCTTGTAGCCATAAGAAACTGAAAAAAAATATTTGGTTTTGTGAAGGGAGTCTGACTTGTTTCCTCTCAAATTCTCACAAGCCCTCTAAGATCTTTTGAGCTCTGATACCATGATGAAAAATATAAGAATGCATAGCTCTGAAATTTTGTTGAGAACACACACTTGCAGAGGTAATTTTCTGGTTGAATAAAAGCACACAATCTGCATTCTCTTTGCTGATATTTATACTCCATCTGTCCCAAAATTATTGTCCAGTTTGAGATTTCACTTTTAGTACAATTTGAACTAGAAATGAAAACTCAAACTGGACAATAATTATGGGATGGAGGGAGTAATACATAAGATGGCCTACTACACACTGTTTGGTCAATGCCTAAACAGTGAAAACATCTTCCACAAAACAAGCTTCATCAGACACTACAACTTGCATACTTCCTGCAAGTTAACATACTGAAACAAGCAAAGTTCATAACAACAAACACAACAAAACAAGCAATGATTAAAACTTGAAAATTCTCAAATTCTAACAATGCTTCTGTACATTGAACATTTTTAAGAGGATATATCTGATATACTCTGATATTGTTAGTGTGGTTTCATCATTCATTCCAAGTTTGTACGGTTTGTTAGTACACCCGAGATTTTGCAAATGCCAAATACCTTTGATGCAGAGGTATATTTTCACAGGCACATTTGAAGACTTATACATCCATATATCCAGGAGTTTGTAGTTGCTGCTTTTTCCTAAAGTAAAAAGTACTCATGGTTTTTTTCCCTAAATTACTGGGGGCTGGAGATCTGCTCTCGGATGCTGTTAAGTTTTGTTCCTATAGGCGCTTCCATGCGACGAATTATTACTGGCAATAGACATTCAGTTGCATGTTTGACATACAATTGTGCATAGATGTATCAACTTTGACTGTTAAATCGTACTTTGTTTTCAGCCAAATCTTCTATTACTCTCCAAAGCATACTTGTAACTTTGGTTCCATTTGTTGTTAGTGACATTAGCTCATTGTAAACTCATGAAACAAACTCAGAGCCCCTATTGATTTGTAATGAAACCAACTGTAAGGGCTTCACCATTGGAACCTCTGGTGCAGTCAGTCACTAATAGGATGAGCTTTTTCTTTTTTTTTTTCTTCTTGATGGGTGGACTGTCATGATAGAATATGTACAAGAAAGACAGAAAGTGCACATCTTTGAGTAACCTTTGAATAATTTTTACTACCTTTTTAAAGAAATTAGTAATTATTGATGTGTTCTTAGAGTTTAGAAATAGAAACTAATGAAATTCAAAGGCCATTTTTGCCTTGATAAAAAACAAGTGAGAAGTAACAAATCTTTTTGTCATTCGAGAAAACAACCACCTTTTTCCTTTAGTCATTGGTCCAGCTAACTACCCAAAATGAGCGTATGATGTTTCAGTAAGTTCTCTCTTCACTGTGGAACGGAAGCGCTATGAAGGAAAGACACTTTTGTGGTTATTTAGGTTTATTTGTTTCTGAAATACAGAAACTAAAATTGTAAAGAAAATGACCGAGAGCTGTGTGCGACTGTTTCATCAGAATTATTGTATTGAAGTTGTTTGAAGCTGTGAGATAGTGAAACATGAAATGTAAATTTAGGAAAGATTGTCATTAAGTATAAGTTATAAATTTTCCACGCGCTTAAAAAACAAGAGAAGCCATGCAAATATGTGGAATTTGGAAGCCATTGAACGTATGTAGACTTGAACTCTTTCTATTTTCCCTTTCTTCTTCTCCTTCCTCATTTTTTCTTCTTCTTTCTATTTTTCTTCTTCTCCAACTTGCATCTTCCTTTTTATTAAATTTTAAATCCAAATTTACTAAAAATCAAAATTTAAAAAAATGGCGGAACAAAACACACAACAATAGAAAGAAGCACCATCGATACCAATAAATTTTTTTGCCCCAAATCATATTTAAAAAAAATTTTTAAAAAAAAAACTGCCTGCCCAGGCTAGCCGACCCAACCGGCGGTCACTATTGAATGATTGGCCGGTCCCTGACCCGGCCAATCTTCTACTCTTGACCGGAATTCTCACCGGCCAAGGTTCCCGCCGCCGATCGGGTCGGCTAGCCTGGGCAGGCAGGTTTTTTTTTGTGATTTTTTTTAATTTTTTGTTGTAATTTCTTGTTATAATTAATTTAGTTAAATTTAGTTATAATTAATGTAACTAATTGTTGTATTATTGTTTGATTAATTTAGTTTAATATATATAATTAATGTAATAAGTTGTTGAATGTTGTGTTATTATTTTTTATATGCCATTTAATTTTTTTTGTATGTTTTAGTAACATGTTTAATTTAAATTATTAGGTATAATTTGTTTAATTTAATAATTAGTGTATATTAGATATGTGGTATATATTTGTTTAATTTAATTAAATTTATAGTTGTATGTGGTATTTAGCTTTAATAGTTAATTATTGTTTACGTAAATGAATTAGTTATTTTGTTATGTAAATTGTATTTTTTAAAATTTTATATATTTCATTTACAGGATTATGGTGGTGACGGTATTGATTGCAGTCATCATTACTAACATAAGATTCGCAACTATTGAAGTCGCTGTACTATAGGCGAAAAAGACTGCAATATCTCTTAATTTTACAGTGTTTAAGGCGTCGAAGACAGATGAGACTAAGAAATTATTACGATGTCCAAAGGGTGTTCCCCCTAGAGATACAGAGAATTGGGTGCGAAAAACAAAGGTGCGGTATTGTGGATGCCCGTTCCGGCTTCTAGCCCAAATTCGCCTAGGCGAATCTACTTTTGGGATTCATTCATGTCCCGGTCGTAATGGTACGCATAACTACCCGTTTGGTAGCTTCGAGGAGGGACAGATGCAGATGAGCAACCTTAATGATAAACCGAACGTGATTGTTGACGAGTTGACTGTCATTAATGTAAAACCGTCTGCAATGCTGCGGGCGATTCAGCAGAAATGCCCGGACAAACACGTTGTGATCAAACAGATATACAACTACAAGGGTAGGATGCAGGTGGAAAAGATGAGGGGTAAAACATTGGTGGATCATTTCTTTGACATTACTTAGCAACACAAATATGTGATTAATACTGCTAATGAAAAAGGTGTGTTGAGTCATATTTTCTGTGCACATCTAGTATCTGTAGAGTTGATCCGAGCATACCCGTGGTATATTGACATGTATACTACTTATAGAACAAACATGTATAATATGCCGCTGTTACAAATTATTGGGATAACTCCAACCAACAAGAATTTTTTAATTGGATACGTAATTATGAAGGATGAGAAGAAGGAGAGTTATACTTAGGCATATCAACAGCTTCGCGATATGATTGTATGGGAGGTGCACCCGTATGCCATAGTGGTCGACTCGATGGCCGGTCACTCTTCAAGGATTGGGCGATCCCTGACTAGGCCAATCCATATCCCTTGGCCGGTAAGAAATCCGGCCAAGGTTCCCGGGCTGGCCACTGTTCGGGTTGGCCAACCTGGGCAGCAACTTCTTTTTTTTTTTTAAATAGAATTTGGAAAAAAAAAATTACCGGCATCAATGGTGAGCTTTCACGTTGTTGATTTAGATTTGAAGAAGAAGAACAGAGGAGGAAGGAGAATAAGAAAGAATAAAAGAGAAAAAAGAAGAAGAAGAGATAGGGAAAGAAAAGAAGGAAGAAGAAAAAAAATAGTTCAGGAGTAAAATTATAAAAAACGAACTACATATGAATAATTTCTGAACTGTAAAAAATAATTGACTTTAAATCCTCCAGACCTTTAGAAGTTTCCTCTAGGAAGGCATTCCGTCAGTGATGTTTATCGACCCAAATATGAACTCGTAAAAGTTTCGCTCCCAATTTCAAAACCATCGAAATTCACAGTAGTGCACAGAGAAGGCTCAAGGACAGCTAAAAGGTAAAACCACTCTACCTTTCGTTATTCCCACCCCTGATAGGGAAGCTCCGCCGCGAATGGCGTCCGCCGCCCGGGGCATTATCCAATTGGACGAGGGTATTGAAGGAGACCAAATATGTTCCGCCAACTATCGCTTCCTTCAAATTGGACAGCCCGTCCCCATTGAAACTAATTCAACTGACAAACCAATCTATGATTCCCAAAATCCTCCGTCTTTGCCTTTGGCGGTATCCGAACGATTTCGCCTGCTCTTCGTCGCCCATTCCAATGGTCTGTCACCCGTTTTATTTTTCTAACTCTAAATTTCACCGTTCAGTTTGATTTATTTCACTAATTGATGCACTCTTTTTTGTAATCGTCATTGTGTTCTTTGGTATTACTTCTGTTGTCTAGGGTTCTCTATTGCAGCTTGTTTGCTTTCTGAAATCTTACTATGTTGTTTGATTATTATTTGGCCATTTTATTATTGTGTGGTACGGAAAAGGTATAGTTGTTCTTGTTGTTTACAGGGTTCTGTGTTGCCATTTTTGTGCTTCTGAAATTTCACCTGTTATAACAACTTTTCGGGTTTGCACCTTTATCACTGATATCATCTTATGGTTTTGGTTTGTTCTCTGTAGGATTTTATGTTGCCAGAACTAAGGAAGTAATGTCTGCTGCAGAAGATTTGAAGGATAAAGGGAGTGGTCCGTCTATTCACAAGCTGAGCATCATGAACCTTTCCATCGGAACAGTTTCTTTATTGACACTGTCTTGGCAAGATTCAATTCTTGCTGCTTGTGTAGAAAATCAAATCCATTTCTTCATGATGAGTGCCCTTCTCAATAAGGTATGAATTTATAACATTATGTTATTTATAAACTTTGGATTTTTCTATGTTTGCTATCAATTCGTTGTTGCCCACCTATTTGGAATTACTTAACTTTTGAATTTGTTATACGTGCGAGTCTTGTTTACATTTGGCAACCTAGTCTTTCATCTGATTTGTCTCCACTAAATTGAATATTATCTTTTGGCTGTAAAATTCTACAAATTTCAAGTGGGCGAACATGGAATTGTAGGTAGATTTCGGAAGTTTCATTTCCGTGAGGGATAACTATTAAAGGGTTTTTCAGATTTTCATTCTGTAGATTTTAAGTGAATTTATTTTTCTCGGGCAGAAAAGTTAGGGTAGGTAATGTGAGTTTTTCCCATGAGTTTGATCTAGGATAATACAACTGCCTTAGTTGCAAAATGTATCTTGGCTGTAGAAGTTCTAGAAATATGGAAACTTGGTTAATTGTGATCTTTTAAGGTGTAAGTTCTGATTTTTGAAGGCGTAAGCATGTGAATGGCTTAGTGGTTTTTGTCAAAATCTCAATTAAAAAGGTTCGCTGATAGAATGTGTCTTTGCTTTATAGAAAATTGAGGGTTCCTTTTAACCTGTAATTGTACTAGTATGTCACGCATTTCAGACTTCATTTCCAATGTGGGATTGTGAACTTTAAGCTAATAGAACTTCTAACTCCTGTGGTGTTATTTTCCTTTTAACCTCTCATTCTTACTTTGGTACACGGTTCTGGTGAGTTTGTAGAAGCTTGAAGCCTTTGGAGTTATTCTTCTCTTTCGTTTTTAACGGTCTTATACATTATTGTTGTTTTCATGCTGATGTGCTCTCTGTTGAAGTCATTAACAGTCTGATGTAAAAAATTTCCCATCATCCTGCCAAGACACCTAATGATTCACATTCCTATGAGCCACTGCACCCGTACCATCATACATATCTGTTGGCTGCTGCAAAACTTGGTTCTTCTGAAACCAAGCAGTCATCTTATGTTATAATTTGAGGTGGATTGATCTTACTGCAGACTGTGGATGGAAATAAGCTTTCGTAGGGAAACTATTTCCGATGGCTAGTATCCCAGAACTGTTTCACATTGCAGCATTTTCCTTTATTTTTAACATTTTTATTTATGAAAGAATCAATTTCCTTATCTTAGCATTTGAACTAACACTCATCTTAGGACTCTATTCTAGCTGGTAATATTCTATGCAAATTGTTCATCTCACTTATGTTTCAGCTTTTCATGATAGAAAAAAGAATCAATGATGCTAGGTTTTCTGAGTCCATGTACTTGTGTGTGCCTAACAGCTAAAGTGTATAATATCTGATCTTAACTGGAGTTTGTAGTGGTTTAGAAGTTTGCCTGAAATTGATTTCCATTTTTAGACATGTAATGAATTTGCTGCCGCACTTGAGAATATCTATCTTCTAGTTTTGTGTATCTTTCTACCAGCGAAGAACTGCAATCAGAAATTTTTTTGAGTCTTTAATTTCTACTTTGAGCTTCTATATAATTCCTTGGTTATAACTGCTGTTCATTATTTTTCATTTTGCTTTTATGTATTTCATTATTCCCTAATAAGACCTTTTACTTGGTTTTACTGGGTGTGTGGATTTAATTTCTATTTTCTTTCTGACCCACCCTAAAACAGGTTGAAGAACCATCGTTCTCTGTTGGTCTGGATGACTCGGGCTACATCCAGGATATGAAATGGGCTGGAAAAGTGGAAAAAGATTATGTTGTTCTCTCAAGCACTGGGAAGCTATACCATGGACATGGTGGAGGCTCTCTTGAGAATGTGTCGGATGATGTCGATGCCGGTGTGTTTCTTGCTCTAAAAATTCACTAGCCATACTTTTGAAAATTCCGAAGTATATTTTTCTGATGGCTTTAGTTATACTATATGTTTCCTTAGTTTAGTTTGCAACTTTGCATCAAACTCTTTGTATCATTACCATTGTACTACGATGCCAAAGTTTCCTGTTAACTATGTCTGTGCCTAAGTTGGAAAATTCACGACAGATAGCAGAATAGGCAACACGTTGCTTGATAGTAGCAATAAGGCAGGGGCAAATTGAGGATAGCAGATGGCAGTAGGTAGAGCACTTGTGCATGAAAGTAAGATCTTCCTATGGACAGTGAATCAACCATGATAGATATCCAGATAGGTACAGTGAATCAATTGAATTATTTTCTCACTGTTGTTATCATTCAAGTATCTAAAACAGAAAAGGTGCGTGGCAACGATTTAGATGTAGATAATGTTGAAGAGGAAGTGACGAACAAGATTACTAGAACAAGAATACTAGAGAACAAATAGATATAGATATAACAAAGTTGAGATGAAAGATCAAGTGAAACAAGCCAATATCCTGGTGGCGGTTTAACCATTAACATGCTCGGTTCTGAGAAATCGATGGGCTTCAGGTAGTTGGGGGGCATGAAAGTTGATTTGTGTTCCATGTGAAGTAAGATGTAGTCACTAGGAAATTCAGTATTTTTTTTGAGGGCACTGCCATCTACAGATCTACTGGAGACGCAGTGGGGCCTGTGATTTAGGCACGTGGCTGCAGACCACGGTGTCGAAGGTTTGAAACCCTAGCCCGAAACCGACCCAAAGGTGAAATACCTTTCCTCTGAGGGTCGAAAGACGGGATAGTAGGCCAAAAGTTATGGAAATTGGATGCCGGTCCTTTTTCGAAATGGTATTTTTATTGCGAGTGGCGGAACCATTACACATAGTATGCCCCCCTAAAATGATACTTCTTTGTAGAGGCCATAATTGGTTATGACAAAGCAGTCTCCAATAAGCTAAGGTGTAGTGTTGCTCATAAGTGATTAATTGTGCAACTTTAAATCAAAAGTCGTAGTGTATTGAATATTATATTGTGGGAATGTAATCGTAAAATGGTGGTTGCCACAAGAAATCTTCTGGTTTACTTTTATTCTGCCCCTTGCTTGTGATTTTTATGATAGCCTACTGCTGAAAGAGCTGGTTTCTTAATGTTATTTGATCCTGCTTAATCCTCGTCTCGTTATTTGACCGTACCTTCTGTGTTCCTTGCTAATCTTCTCTCTTTATCTGAATCTGGGTAGCCACTTCGAATATTCGTGCTTTTGACTATTACTAATATGCTTTTCTGTCCCCCACCCCCATGTAGTTGAATGGAGGGCATGTGGCAAATTTCTTGCTGTGGCAAGAAAGAATGTCTTGAGCATCATGTCATCAAATTTCAAGGAAGTGCTCAGATTTTGTTTGTCACCTTCGTCTGTAAAAGGTATCTTGAAGCAGTTTTCTTCTTTTCTGCCTACTGAACAATTACCTGTATTCGAACTTGGTCACTAATGGTTTCTCTTTGTTGTTTGTCATGTTATACTGTCATTTCATTTCTACAGTCGACACTATCAGATGGGTTCGTGCAGATAGAATAGTTGTTGGGAGTTTTGTGTTAGATGATGATTCCGAGGAAGCAAATTACCTAGTCCAAGTAATCACGGCCGAGGGCGAGGATATTACAGATGTGAGTAAACAATGAATTTCTACTGATCTTCATGAATTTATTGCACTTGCTTTTGGTCTCTGCCTGCCACTGATTCTTTGTTAGATGCACTCTAGTGAGCTCATTTATAGGTTTTTTACAATAATCTAATATCCCTGTGCTCTTTATCAAGTTCCTAACCAATGAAGTGGCATTCTCGCGTTGTCATATTTGTTATATTTTGTTAGACAAGTTTTTTTTTTGGCATTTTCACTTAAGATGTCATTCTTTTTTATATTTCCTGAAATAATGATCAACATCGAATAGCAGCATTGATTTTGATATGATTTCTGGTGATATTTATCAAGGGATTTTAACGTTGCAGTCTCCTTTTATGTTTGTTAGACTTCTTCGAAGCCGGCTGTGGTATCGTTCCACGACATGTTTTTAGACTATCGGTTCGATGTTGTGCCTGGTGCAGCTGGACCTAATATGTTCCTCTGTTATTTAAAGAATCAGTATGTTTCTCTTCCTGTGAAATTTAATAAATTTCTTCTTTTATCTTGTTTTCGTGTAATATGTGTGCTGTATTTTGTTTTATTTATATTTCTCTGGTCAGGGATTAATTCAAGCTGTCCTCTTGTAATTTACTTGTTGTTTAAAGTGATCTGCATTTGCTAAATTGTGCTTGGCAAGGGCGTTACCACGTGTGGCATTTTCAATATCACTGCTTTTCTTCTTTTTTTTTTTCTTTTTTTCTTTTCTTTTTTTGGGGAGGGGGGTGAAGTATTTGTTTTTAATATTGAAGGTGACTTGAAAAATTATTGTAAGGAAGAGCCAATAGTTTATAACGTTCGAAACAAACTTTGGTTTAAAGAATTACTATAAAACACAGTAACGAGTCCTATCTGTCTTTCTCGTATATACTTTTGTTTGGGTTTTTTTATTCTCTTGTTTTAAGTGACATTTTTAAAAAGATTTGAATTAATGAAAGGGATGTGAATGACCCAAAAAAAGCGACATCATTTTGTGGTGTTTGTCTTTCCCAGTGAATTTAGCCCCGGATATTGTTGTCTGGAGCTGCATAGATGAGGAACATTAGTAGTAACATCTTAATTTTTACCCATGCTTATTAAATTTTTATTATCGGCACTTTCATTTGGCGATGGAAGGGATTCTTTAATATGAAAAATAATTTTATGAAAGTAACAATCAAATCATCGATCTCTTAAGATGTCTCCCTCTATAATTAACCGTTCAAATGATTATTCGTTAATAAGCACGCAAAATACTTTTAGGTTGATAGGGGCAAATAATACTGCTGCTGTAATTGCAATGAAAGTTAATGCATTAGTATTTGCAGTAATATCATATATATGTGCCTCCGTGGCGGCATATAGGTGTCTCGTTCTCAAATGTAATTGTTTGATAGGGTAACAAGTGTATCTTTATTAATTTCTGATCTATCCTGAAACACAGAATAGTTTCTTGCCTATCCTCAATTGCTCTTCCGCGCTCTCCCTCCCTGCGCCGCCCCTCCCCTCTTCTCAAACTGTACTTTTGGTTCCCGCCCCCTTAATTTTTGTTTTGAATCCTTTTTTCCTTTCATTTTTCAGAAATTACTTTCTAGTTCCTGAAATTACCTTGCATTTTCTTGTTTTATTTCTTTTGTATCATTGTAATTGTGGAAGTGGGTTGCAATTTAAATTTATGTGATATATAATCTGTTTATTAGTTGTAGTGGGAATGTGGGGTGGAAAAATTTTTATCATATGGAACGCATTTATCACTTGCTAAAAAACTTCTTCTTTTTCCTCCTTGTGCTATCTTTTTGTACATCGAAGTTTGCAACTGTGGGATTCGAAATTAGAAGTTGGTATGTGCTTAGATGAAGGCATTAATGGTGAGACACTGATCTTAAGTTTGGGTGTACTATTGCAGTGAACTTGCGTTTGTAGCTAATCGGAGAAATTTTTCTCAGCATGTCGTATTACTTGGTTGGTTGTCAGAAGATCAGAATAGGGGAGTGGCAGTGATAGAGGTTTCCAATGATGCTTGGTGTGCACACATTGAATCTCAAGGTCTCAAATCTCTCGATTGTTAGAATTTTGTTTAATGAGTTATATGCTGACATTTTTCTCAAATTTGTGTCTCAGGAAAGAAGACAATAGATTTAGCCAAACTAAATGCATAAAACAGGATAATGGGTGTGTTTTAATTGATGATAGGATAATAAAAGATCGGTGGAAAGATTTTTTCCATAATCTTTTTAATGAAGTTGATAGTAAGGAAAAACAGTAGGTGAATTGGAGCCAAGTGGGAAACATGAAAATTTCGCATATCAGAGAAAAATCCACATTAAAGAGGTTGAAAAGGTATGCAACAAATGAAAAACGGTAAAGCCGCAGGTCCTCAGTGATATCGTGATAGAGGCGTGAAGATGCCTTGGGCAAATTTGGGATGAAATTGTTTATGGAGTTATTGAACATAATCATGAAGGGTAAGAAATGCCTAATCAATGGAGGAAGAGTACCTTTGTTTAAAATGAAGAGATATACAAAATTGTGCTAATATAGGAGCATAAAAAAAACTAACTACACAATAAAATTGTGGAAAAGAGTGATAGAGCCTAGGTTAAGGCAAGAAACCAACATACTGTTAAATTTGAGATCTTCTGAGTTAGAACTTTTATGTTTTTATGTTAGGTTAAAATATCTGTCTGATTGGCTTTTGCTTCTTTCTTCAGGGAATGGTGATGATAATTTTTTATTAGCCCTCTCTGTTGACAAGGTTTCTCAAAATGAAGGAATTAAATTCGTTCTTGGGGAGAAAGAGGCAGAAGTTACACCTTGTTGCATTGTTCTGTGTGTTACCGTTGATGGGAAACTTTCTCTTTTCCACTTTGCCAGGTATACTTCATTTACTTTACTTTCATTGTGGGCTGGGTGCTCTTTAATCTTTACTGGGAGTTAGTTGTCCGAGTGATCTGATTCTTTATGTTGAATTATCTCTTTTACAGTGCTGCTAGTGCTGCTAGTTCGAGGCTGGATTTGGCTGATGCTGATACTCAAGTTGATAAACATTTAAATGTCCTTTCAGAACAAAGTCGGTCCGGGATTTTTCGAGAAGTTATTGAGCCACGGGCAGTCTCTCTCACCTCAGAAGATGGTAAATCAAGTGGGAATGATAACGATAAGCCAGAGGAACAAGGTGTTTCGACCAACCAAGCCCAAAAGTCTTCTGTAAGTTCTCAGATGCTAAAAAGTGATAATGAGGGCATGTTTTCTTTTACAAACCTTGAGGAAAATAGAGGCACCCAGGAGTCTGAAGTTGCTGAAAAGCTGAGTTTGAAATCAGAATATTCACCTTTCCATACTTCTCACCCCGAGGTTCCAGGAACGGAAGCAAGGAATGTGGGCAAAACCATAATGAGTGCACCTTTTGAAGCAAAACTTCATGCAGATTCCTTATCGGAAATGGTTTTGAATGATGCCAGTCGATCAGTAAGCAAAAGCATGCAAACATCTAGTGTTTTTGGATTTGGTGGGGGGATTTCAGTATCTGATTCATCTGTTAGAAGATTTTTGTTGCCAGGAGATTCTGATGGTAAATCAGCATCGCCTGCTTATATTGTACCTTCTTTACAGTCAGAGAAAAGTAAACTGCAACCTGCAGGTGCTATATCTCTCTCTCCTAAAGATATGAAGGAGACTTCAAACCAATCTTTTCGAATGATTTCCCAAGGGGAAAGAGCTGCCACAATGGCTGAGAGTAGAAGCACATCTCCTTCTACTTTTGATTTACAAGTTCCGTCGCGGGAGAAGTTTGTGTCTGGAAAATCCTCCATGCCTCGACTCGGTGTAGAAAACTTTAGAACTTCTTCTCACTTGCTACAGTCCAATCATGAGCAAAAGCAATCATCTCAGTTCTCCAATGTAATCAATTTATTTCTCAATTTGAGTTGTACTTGGGTTTTTTGGTGTTGTCAACATCTAGTTTTGCATATTTCTAATTTGTAATATGAATTTGTATGCAAAAAAAGAAAAAAAGAAAAAAGGGAAAATGACACCTGGGTTATGGGTAGGTGACGTATTGCATGAGTTATGTTTTCGTACGACCATTGTAGTCCATATATCCATAGGTTTGGGAACATTTGTGATTATTTATTTGGGGAATTTGAGATACAGTATATACTTTTAACTCATGAAATGAGGTTTCAATATATTTGAGTGTGCTTCTGAATTCCTTTGCCTTTACACCTTAAGTGGCAAGGAGAAACTGTTTGATTCTTTCTGTGTCCTGAAAGTGACTGGAAATTTTTTTAACTTGTTTTTGTTACGTATCTTCTTTATGTTTATGACACTTAACGTATACAGGTTGAAATGCTGGTCAAGCAAATGGATGAAATTTTGGAACACATAGGAGGAGATGGTGGTTTTAAGGATGCTTCTATAACTTTCCAGGAAGGTTCAGTTTCAGCACTGGAGGAGGGCATAAGGTTGTTGTCTGATAGATGCAGAACATGGAGGGTTAGTCTTCAAGAGTTATCATACTCTTTCACAAATATAGTTATAACTGAATAATTTATGTTCGGCAGCGATTTTGTCATGTCATGCTTTCTGTTTCTTTGCTGAAATGAAGTTGCTCTCCTTTTGTTTCTTATTAATTATGCTCACTTACCTATGTGGTAAAGAAGCAGAAAAATGTTGAAAGCTTGAGTTCGTCATGACCTTTTGATATGCTGCAGTAAAACACTCATCCTTTTTTCTGTATCCAGGGAAAACTGGAAGCGCAATCAAGGGACATCGAGCATCTCCTTGACAAAACTGTGCAAGGTACAATTTGATTTGATAAAATTTTCAAAGAATATTTGGAGATTACTGTCAATGCATGAGACTGGTTGCTGTTTGAAGCGCCCAGTACTCATCAGACTGAAACCACCCAGCTGAAATGCATTATATTTCTTAATAGTTTGTTTATCGTAAAACCTAGTTGATGCTGACTATTTGTGCAATACATTATGGCAATAATAACTTAGTGTTGGCGAGGAAAGTATATATGGAAGGCATTTTCCAGCAAGCAACTGATAACTGGTATTCAGATCTTTGGAATAGTCATAAGCTGAATTTGGAACTAGAGTTGAAGAGGCAGCATATACTAGAAATTGATCACGTGAGTACAAATTAGATTAATGAGTCTTCTTTTCCTTCACAATCGCAGTTTAACTGGATTATTGTTTTTTTTTTTTTTTCTTTTTGTGGTTACTCTTTTCCTCTGGCATCAGGAATTAGCTTCCCAATTGGTTCAACTGGAAAGACATTTTAATACCATTGAGTTAAATAAGTTTGGAGAAAGTGGAGCACTACAAGAAAATCAGAAGATCGTGGAAAGTGGATTTGGGAAACCAAGGTATCTCAAGGGGACAATTATGTTGTTTTTCTTATTCTTTCTTCAGTTAATGAGTGCAAACTTTTTCACATGAGAGGTGGTCTGTCGGAGCTACCCCGTTGTGATTGACCTTTTATTTGTCAAATGCAGATGAAATATCATCATGTGCGTTTGTGTTGTAGGGAACTGAGGACCTTACAAGATACAATGTTAGCTCAATTAGCTGCAGCAGAGAAATTATCTGAACGTCTTAAAAAGCAGATGGCAGCTTTGAGCATAGAATGTCGAGATTCAAAGCAGAACATCAAGAGGGAGGTGTTTGAAACACTTGGGTTAGCATATGACGGTGCTTCTTACAACATTCTATGTAAAGAAAAGGCACCAGACACCCCAAGGAAGGATTTACTGGCAAAATTTTCTTCTGTTACTGCTAAAGACCATTGCTGGAAAAATTTATCCACAACCACGAAGAATTCTGAACCAAAAACTGTAAGACGACGCCGGGATTCTTTGGGCCAGGTGATAACCTCATGTTCTTATCTTTTCTTTTTTATTTTTTATTTTTATATTTATGTGGTAGCTCATAGTTCTCTCGTTCCTGTTTAACATTATGGAGTCTGCATATCAAGGTTATCATGACATCTTCGTTGTCCACTGCTCCGTTAAAATAACTAGCATGCTCACCAATCCCCAGTCCCAAGCGACTGCCATCTTGAATTTCCTTGTTTATATTCCTTCAAACTCTTGAATATTGCCTGATTGAATTGTTTTTCATACATAAGTTGGTTGAGAGAGAGAGGAAGTCAGGGAAGGATTAGAAGTTTGACATCTTTCTTTGCTCAAATTGAGACATTAATCAATTTTGTGCATTGTAAAAGCTGGAATAGAGTAAGAAAGTTTCACAAATGACAGAGGGTTTTCAGGTATAAAAAATTGGAGCAGTGCTTTTACTTTCCCGTGATATTGTGTTATTCCTTCTCCTCCCAAGGGGGGGAAAAGAAAAGAAACACCCCACGTCCTCCTTCCCTTTTAAGAGGTTTTTGTAATGGCCATCCTGGATACGGACAAATGAAGTACTCATCAATCTTATAATACCTTTAGTCTTTAGATTGTAGGAGGTAACTTGAAATTCAGGAAATGAGTGAGTGCTTTTACTGACATGCTGAGCACATTGACTACAGATTATACTGCTAAAGCAATGATTTAAATAGATGTGTGTTTGCAGAATCTGTGCACATAAGATTTTTAATTCCCCGCAATATGCAGTCATTAACATTTTGCTTGATGCAGATGAAATCTAGCGTTATACCTCTTAAAACAACTGTGAAAAGGGCACTTTTGCTAGAAGACCATGGATCCCTCGAAAGCAGATTTCCTACTGAAGTGAAGGAGCTACGCCCTGAACTTCAGCTGGGAGAGGAAATAGTACACCCTGTTCATTCTGGACCCAATGATGTATATGTGAGATCTCTTTTCCAATACGAAGGCAAAGGTATTTACCTTCGGACCAACTGAGTGGACAAAGTTATTCTAGCTTAATATATTTTTGTTTGTAATTACATTTTCTTTCATTGCAATTTTGCAGCCAGTGGTAGAACGGCTTTAAAGAAATTTGCTCAACATCCCTCAATGTTATCTCCGTGGACTAGTGGACCAGCAGATCCTGGTATTGAAGTTGTCCCCGCGAGAAGTTCTCCTGCATTTGTGGAACCTCCCCCTGACACAGCTTCTGCTAGGCAAAATGTTGCATGGGAGAATCATACTTTGTCTGGGAAGTATACAAGTAACCTTGCATTTGGTCAAACTTCTGGAAATGATTCTAGACATGTTCAGCAATTTCCAAAGTTCCCCTCTGATGGCCCATTGGTTGCTGAGAGGAATTCGGCTGTTTCTCCAGTACCATTCAAGAACTCCATTGAGAATCCGATTTTTAGAAATGAAGAGCGCGGGACTTCTGGAGCTACTAATAGAAAAGTAGAGCCAACAACAATCAGAAGTGAGAGATCTTTGGCTGTTTCTCCCCCAATATCCTTAGGCAAGGTCTTAGATACGGAAACCAGTGCTAACCATCTAGGTGAAAAAATTTCAAGTGCTACTAACCGAGTTGTACAGTCAACTGCCTCAACTTCCTTTCCAGAGCCAAGTGGTGAAATCAAATCGCATTCGACATCATCGGGGCACTCACTGTCAATTTCTCCTGCCATACTAGATGAAAAGTCATTGCAATCTCATTCATTATTTTCGTCCGTTTCAATCAATAGCTTTTCATCTGGTACTCCCTCTTCGGGGGACAAGGGAGCTGAGTCCCAAGAATCAGGATCTCAACCTCTTCTGGGGGTGTTTACCTCAAACAAGGATGAAAGATTGGTATTGCAGACAACTAAAACTACATTGTTGGGAGGTGAAACTGCAAAAGCAGGCGAAGCCTCTGTTTTGCAGCCTGAGCTTTCCACTGGTAGCTCCCGTTTCATTATTGCATCTGAAGCTTCAACAGCTTCACCAGCAACTAAATTTCCTGGTTCTCTAAATTCTGAGAGTCAGCTCAACATTGAGAGTGCTTCAAGTCCTCCTGTCTCAGAAATGGCACCCAATAGCATGATTGGACGAGCATTGCCTTCTAAAGATGATTTATCAGCTTCTCCAGCTGCTATATTCACGGGGGTATCACTCGATGGAAAAGATGCCACTTCTGTGAACAATGAGGATGAGATGGAAGAGGAAGCTCCAGAAAGCAATCTGACTACCGAACTTTCACTTGGAGATCTTGGGGGGCTTGGATTTGGATCAAGCTCTACTTTAACTGTTACCAAACCAAATCCTTTTGGTGTTGAAACTGTTGGACCCGTTAGCTCCCAATTTCAAATGCCTAGTCCCCAGGGGGGGATGTTCCGACCAGCATCCTTCAACTTTCAGTCTCCATTACCTTTGCAGCCATCAGTTGCATCAACCTCTACTCTCTTCTCAAGTGGTTTTAGCAGTGGGGGTGGTAATTTAGGTCATTCCTCAGGTGGGTTTGGCCAGCCTGCCCAATTTGGGCAACAATCTCTTGGCTCGGTTCTTGGTGCCTTTGGACAGTCTAGGCAGCTTGGCGCTAGCCCACCTGGAAACAGTAGCGCACCGTCTAGTGGGTTTGGTGGCAGTTTTACTGGGTCGCCAAGTGCTGGTTTTGGTTTTGCTGCTGCTACCACACCTGGTGGTGGGTTTGCTGCTGCTGCAACCTCTGGAGGTGGGTTTGCTGCAGCCGCCGCATCTGGAGGTGGGTTTGCCAATGTAGCCAATCCTGGTGGTGGTGGTGGTGGTTTTGCGGGTGCTGCAACAGCTGGAGGTGGATTTGCTGCAGCCGCCACAGCAGGTAAGTTATCATGTAATCCTTGCAAATGTATGTGCGCAGATTGCTGCATCCTTTTCAGGAATTGATGAAATATTTCTACTCAAAATTGTTAGGTGGAGGGTTTGGAGCTTTCAGTAACCAGTTTGGTGGAAATTTCTCTGCATTTGGTAGTAGTTCTGGAGCTGGAAGGCCTCCGTCTGATCTCTTTACGCAGATGAGAAAGTAGTAGGTGTGTAATTTTGTGAAAGGAACATTTATGTTAACAATTTTGCGTCGACTGTCTTTGTTATAGTTTACACTTGAAGGCTTACTACACGCACAATGTGCTAGCAAACTTTGCTAGTTTATCAACACGCACAACATGCCTAGTCTGGACTCATTCTCGAGCAGCCTGTTGATAGAATTGGTGGTTTAAGTAGTAAGTTGTGATTAGGAAGCTATAGGCCCAATCGTATTTTCTAGTATGTTCTCACTAGTTTCATGCCTAACAGTAGTTCTCTAAATAGCCAATCAATCAGCAGATTTTTGAGTGGTGCCAGATACTATGTGACGTTGAAATGTAAATTAAACTTTATAATTGGTTGTTACATTTTTTTTTTTTTTTTTTTGGTCCTTACATTTGGACCTAAGTACATTTTAGATTGAGACGCATCGATTTAGTGATCTTGGTATGTAGCATATTGTTTTTACCTTTTTTCTGATGAATACTCCATATTATATTGACTGGCTTTACTTACTTTGACCAGGGTTAACGAATTTTAAAGTGCAGTAATTAATAAAATAATGTAAAATGATGCAATTAAATATTCTTTAAATGAACTGAGCTGTCCAAAACTGTATTAATTTAAGGATAATTTAATACTTGGAATATCTTTGTCAATGACATTTCTACAAAAATCTTTTGGTTAGCAATTGTTATTTATTTATTATTTTTTAAGTTTGTTTTGTCCATTCGGCAATAGTTTTTGTTTTGTTTTGTTTTATTTATTTTATAAATTTCTGAAAAACTTGTTTTAGTTATTTCAATAAAAAAAATAATAAAATAAAAAACAAACAATGAGGGAGTAACGTATAAACTTGCACCAATTTAAGAGGAGATGAGAGAAAATTAAACAGTTAACCATACATTTTCAAACACTGATACAATGTTGCATTTATTCTTGTTCATTTAGCCACATCTTTTTTCGATTATTATCATTTAACTTATCTGTGAAAATGTTCATTTTCATTCCTTCCTTATGAGTCTGTGTGTTGAGTCTTTCTGTGTTTCTAGGTCAGCAGAAATGAAGTTTGAAATTGTTTGCTTGACGACAAGCAAAACTTCAAGTTTGGGACAATGTTGTCAGACCTGTATTTGGAACCGGACTGTTGTCAATAGGGTTCACTGGGTCAACCCCTTTAGCCCGGAACATAAAACGGATAAGACCGGTTGATGTTATATACCATTTTTTATTTTAAATATATTAATAATTCAATATCTAAAGTTATAAGTATTAATAGAATAATTTCTATGTTAGAATTTCTCAAGAAACATAATACATTTATGATTGAAATAAGAGAAATTTTGATTTAAACATATGAGTTTATCATCAAAACTAATATTATTCAACGGTTAAGGTGTTTGGGACTCAAAATTTGAGACTTGTTGATAAAATATTAAATTTATT